GGGCGGGGACCCCGGAAGGCAGGTGGCCGGCGTTGGCGGTGGAGCCGGGACCTGGAGGAGGGGGAAGTTTGCTCGCTGGACCCTGCGGGCTCTGCGAGAACTTCGAGGCGGGAGCCGAGCGCGGTGGTGGAAGGAGCAGGACGGGAGGCGGCCCGGGTATCTCCAGGGTGGGCCGGGCCGGGGCAGGCTTGCCCGGAGAAGTGGGGACCGCGTCCGTGGGCGGGACGGGGCGGGCGGGGAGACTGGAGGAGCGGGGCCCGGAGCGCGTCCGCTGGGAGCTGGGGGGCCGGGTGGGGCGACTCGGCTCGTTGCAGACGTCAGTTCTGGCCGTCGGGACGCCGCAGCCGTCGCCGCTGCTCATGCTTCTCTCCCGCTTGTCCCAGGTCGCGCATCCGATCCTGCGAGAGGCGCCAACAAAAGAGGCGAGGAGGTGCCACCCCTGCGGCGGGAGGAGGCCGACCCGCCGTGCGTATTCGCCGGAGGGAAGGGCGGGATCGCTCCCAGTGGGGAACGCCGGGTGGCGCGGGCTCCCAGATTCTGGCGACCCTCCTCGGCTCCCACGAGAGGAAAGTTTGCTCCCGCGCTTCCGGCCGGGCCCAGCCTCCCGAGCCTTCGGAGCGGGCGCCGTCCCAGCTCCGGGGAGCCGCGATGCCTGGGGCGGGCTCCCGGGGCCCCGGCGTAGACGGGCGGCTGCGGCTGGCGCGCCTGGCGCTGGTCCTGTCGGTCTGGGTGTCCGCGTGGGCGCCCGGCTCCTCGGCGCCGTCCTCCTCCTTGTCCCCGGCGGCGTTCCCGGCCTCAGCGGGGTCGGCGCAGCCTCCTCCGGCCGACCGATGCCCCGCGGCGTGCGAGTGCTCCGAGGCGGCGCGCACGGTCAAGTGCGTGAACCGTGACCTGCAGGAGGTGCCCGCGGACCTGCCTCCCTACGTGCGCAACCTCTTCCTCACCGGCAACCAGATGACGGTGCTGCCCGCCGGGGCCTTCGCCCGCCAGCCACCGCTGGCCGACCTGGCGGCGCTCAACCTCAGCGGCAACCACCTGGAGGAGGTGAGCGCCGGCGCCTTCGAGCATCTGCCCGGCCTGCGCCAGCTGGACCTCAGCCACAACCCGCTCTCTCGCCTCAGCCCCTTCGCCTTCTCCGACAGCAACGCTAGCATCCCGGCCCCCAGCCCGCTGGCCGAGCTCATCCTGAACCACGTCTTGCCCCCCGAGGAGCAGCGGGACAATGGCACCTTCGAGGGCATGGTGGCTTTCGAGAGCATGGTGGCTGCAGCCCTGCGCTCAGGCTTTGCGCTCCAAGGGCTCCAGCGCCTGGAGCTGGCCAGCAATCACTTCCTTTACCTGCCCCGGGACTTCCTGGCCCAACTGCCGGGTCTCAGGCACCTGGACCTTCGAAACAACTCCCTGGTGAGCCTGAACTACGTGTCTTTCCGCAACCTCACTCAGCTCCAAAGTCTTCACTTGGAAGACAACGCCCTCAAGGTCCTGCACAACAGCACCCTGGCAGAGTGGCAAGGCCTGGCTCAAGTCAGGGTGTTCCTGGACAATAATCCCTGGGTTTGCGACTGCTACATGGCGGACATGGTGGCCTGGCTCAAGGAGACAGAAGTGGTTCCCGACAAAGCTAGGCTCACCTGTGCATTCCCGGAGAAAATGAGGAAGCGTGCCCTCTTGAACCTCAACATCTCTGACCTGAACTGTGATCCTATCCTGCCCCCATCCCTGCAGACTTCCTATGTCTTCCTAGGTATTGTTTTAGCCCTGATAGGCGCAATTTTCCTCCTCGTTTTGTATTTGAACCGGAAGGGGATAAAAAAGTGGATGCATAACATCAGAGATGCCTGCAGGGACCACATGGAAGGGTACCATTACAGGTACGAAATCAATGCGGACCCCAGGTTAACAAACCTCAGTTCCAACTCGGATGTCTGAGAAACAGGACTGGACAAGGACAGCTCTGCATGAGGTGTAGACTTAAGGTTTTTTCCCCTTAACTAGGCTCGTTTCACTTCCTCTACTGTAGACGCCATTGGCTTTGACTGAAAGCCTGGAGGGAATTTGCTTCCTTGTTATGTAAAATTCTTGGTGTGTTTTGTTAATGTAAGAACATGAACAACTGTGCATATAGTATTTACCCTCTTCCTTGGAACTCCTCGTTGCCTGTGGAGGGATTGTTTTCAAGTTCCAGCATGAACCTGACTTTTAGTTCAAGGTGTAGCAGACATATCTACACAGATACCATTCAACAGAAGCTGCCTCAACTTTTTTGAGAAAAGTACTTGATTCATAAATATCAGTTTCATCCTCGTACCTAAATTGTGGAGAAAATAATTGCCTCCCCAAATTGCCTGCAGACCGTAGCAAGCTCTTAAATATAATTTGTTAGTGCACAGGAGCACCTGCATCCAAGAGCATGCTTACATTTTACTATTCTGCATATTACAAAAAAGAGAAATCAAAAAACTTGCAACTTCTGATAACTTCCTTTGATTGCAGTTTATAGGAAACTGTTCTGAGGGTTTTTCTTTTTTTTTTAAATAAACTGCATTGAGATCCAACAAACTGAATTGTTTTAAAAAAATCAATAAAAATTCTTAAAAGAAGCATAGCATGTTCAAGTTTGGTATTTTGAAAAGATGATGAAGGGCCAAGATGTTGAGTGACCTTGGTTCAGATGATAAGTATGTTATTAGTTAGCGTGGCTGAGAATCAAATGGAAGCACTATTACGTACATAGATTTTGGAGATAGTGCCAAAATGGGCTCTTTTAGGATTTAAATAGAGTTCAAATATTTATAGGCCCAGACTAATGGTCCTAAAGTCAGTGCTATTCATGAATAGTTTTTTTTTCAAAGCATTGGAAGTTGGTAGTAGTGAAGAACTCTGTATAATAAACAGGTCACAGCTGGAGCTTTTCTAGACTAATGAAGTTGTTAGGATAGGGCAATTCATATTCATCAAACTGAATGAAGTTGATCTATGGAATTTTAGGGGCAAGCGTGAAGCATATAGTGCCAATAAATGTATGAAAATAAAAATCTTAAAAACAAAACATTCTGAAATAAAAGATTAAAAACAAGAATTATAAAAGTATTTACAGAGATCACGAATTGGAATTCCGATATTAAGAATTTTTTTATGTTCAAAATGAAACATAATGTGTTTTTTAAAATTGATGACTGCATTTAAGGCTAAGGAAGTAATCAGAGAGAGATTTCTGTGCTTATAAACAAGTGTCAAAAGTAATCATTAGTTTCTTATGTTCAGTATTTAAGAATTTGAGAGCCTTATTTTATTTTTTTACAGCTAAACTAATTACCTTCGTCACAAGTACATCATATTTAGGTATAAATTAAAGGCATTCTTTCTTGATACTGATATCCTTCCTCTCCCTCTCATCATCAGCCACTGAAACTAAACAGTAAATTTCATTAATCAGAATTAGCCATTATTCCCTAACTTAAAATAGGAAAAGAAAAAAATAAATAAAACTCTGTACCAGTGGGCTTTAGGGCCTTTTTTCTTCCCTTCAGTTATTCGTGCCTACAGTGCTTTATGCTTGAGATAAATTTTACATTTTCATATTTTTACAAAGTAGCTCAGACTTTAGGTTTTAAAACCCTTTGCAGATTACTTTGAATTCAGAAGTTTTCAAAATCAGGCTAAAAATAATGTGAATTTGTTCATTGTTTAGAATGAATTATATATAGCATAATCAGAGTATGGGGTTTAAAAATCTTAAGTCATGCATGTCTTATTTTGTGAAACTTCATTGTTTATGAGTAATTTCTCATCCTATAATCACCTGAGCAAATGGGTAAATATATGACCTTAACTCATGGAAGATTTTAAGTGTTTACGTGGAATTCACGAACTGGCTGGATGCCATTATTTCCTAAGAACAGTGAAGATGCTAGTGTGCCAAAAATAGTAAAAACATCTAAAATATAATAGGAATAAGCTGTTGATGACTTGGATATTATAGAATATTGACAGGTTCTGTATTAGGGCCATTTTCTTATCACCTGATGACGGAACAATTAAAAATTGAGCATTATGTAAAATTTAGGAACTCCATAGGTTCATTAGCTTTTTTTTTCCACCGTCAACTCTGCAAAGCAGTGATGACTGATTGAAAGAAGCTGAGCTATTAGGTGGGCGTCTGTTTTTGAAGTTATTCCTTTTTTCTCTCAGGATTCTGTACATGAAGTTCCCAATTTGCCACTGCCCTATTGCTGGAGCATCACTCCTGGCTCTTCTCCAAGACATGGCAACAGAAATTTATTTCTTAAAGTAAAATTCTTTGACAACTAATTGGTACTTGTGCAGTCCTAATACTTGAAGCTCACAAGTTCCTTGGAAGGTAGGTGCTATATAAATCCAACAAGCATATAAGAGGATATAGAAGATGTGACATATAAACAAAAGTACTGTGTCTTTATTTAAAAATAAATAATCATACTTTTAAAAAATAATATTCTTTACTATTATACATTGTTCTTAGAAACATACAAATCATTTTTAAAACAATTTTGGATGTTATTACTTTATTACAGTTTAAGTGTTCAGCAGAAAACATCCTCTAGATTTCATTTGATGAAAGGAAATAGCTAAAATTTTTTAGCTTTTAATTTTAAAAGGTATTAAAATGTCCAATAAATTCCTGATTAATGTAAGTAACAAAGATTTTAGGGCAATGCGACTTTGACCCTACATAATAACTCCTTCGTAACCTGTCATTTTGCATCCTTACTTTTTGCATTACTGGTTGCGTTTCAGTGGTGACCTGTTAAGGCATATTTGTATAGCAGCTGATTGTTTTTGTTTTGTTTTGTTTTGTTTTACCAAATAAGGATACTTTGAAACATTGTTAATAAGTTGAATTTTGTTTGTTTGCTTTGAGGAAGAGAAGTTTCACACTAAGAGATTAAAGGGAAGGGCTGGGTTGAAATCCAGGAGCAAATTACAATGAGTAGTTCTCTTGAAACATCTTGATTGACAATGAACCTGAGTTATGCTCATCTCAGTATTTAATTAGGAATAACATACATCTTAGGTTTCTATCTTTTTAAAGTGGCTGTGAAAAAAGCCACAGGAACCCTGGTATTCGTGGGAAGTGTTGTACTCCTCTTTGGAAGCCAGTCTGATGTTTTGCTGCATCCATTGAAAGCTTTTCAACACAAGTTTGTTGGCTTCATCTTTCATATCATCCCTGCTTCCATTTTTACTTTTCTCCAAAGACTTCACTAGCAGACACCAGGAGGATCTGCAAGGCTAACAACTTGGCACAGGCTTGCCTTCAGCCTTTTGAACAGCACCACAAAGAGACGTTTATTAGATAAACTTCTGGGAGGAAAGGGAGGAAATTCTATTTCCCGATAACACATGAAAAACACCCGAACAACCTCTTCAACAAGGTTTCAGCAGTCCGCAGCACTGCGCTGGAAACCAGTAGCTTCAGGACTGTTCTGTGCTGCCCAGGCACTCCAGCCTCGGTTCAGATGGGAAAACAGAAACAGCACCTTGAGGATGTTGTGTACAATTTTCATTCTTAGCCTCAGAAACTTGATTCAGAAATGCAGGCTTTTCAAACTTTTGTGTTTTATCTTAGAACATTTTTGCAACTCTATCATTGCCCTGGGTTAAAAAAAAATAGACTTAGCCGGGTGTGGTGGCGCACACCTTTGATCCCAGCACTTGGGAGGCAGAGGCAGGCGGATCTCTGTGAGTTCAAGGCCAGCCTGGTCTACATAGTTCCAGGACAGCTGGGGCTACAGGGAGACCCTGTATCA